GGGGGGGGGGATGTGCAGCTTTGCCCTAGGCAAGGCAGCATCGCCGCCCTCAGCGCATCTGCCGCTCCAGGCAAACGCCTTGTTTGCCTCGCGGCAGATACGCCCCTGTCTGTATACATGTGAGATAGGAACCTTACATTGTAATCTCCTTCAGGGTAGTGAATATACAGTATGTAAAATGCTGCATAAGTTGTTAGCGCTATATAAAACCCTGTAATACATTTTAAACATATACATTTGTGTTACCTTGCACTACATAGTTGCTGGTAAATATGAAGGTAATAGTACAATCAGATTGTGTAGTGTATGGTTAGTTTAACTTAACCATCACATTCTCAAACAATTCATCCCCACATAACTACCTCCTCATGTATCACTTGCCCCTCCCTTTTAGATTGTAAGCCCTCAGGGGCAGGGCCCTGCTTACCATCTTGTCTTGAATTGTATTGTGATTGTAATGTCTTCCTTATATTGTAAAGCGCTGCGCAAACTGTTGGTGCTATACAAATGCTGTATAATAATAATAATAACTGTTATAGTGAAAAATTGCACACAAATTGTGCAATCATCTAAGATGAATTGCTGCTTTCATTTACTTGTTTAGCTCACACCATAGGAACCCATTTGTTTCATCTATTTAATGATTGATTACTACTGGAAATTCAACTCTAGTGATTTCAGTAGTGTATTTCAGCTACTAACTAGCTATGTAGCTCTAGCCATATTGATACTGATGATTAGCACAAAAAGTAATTTCCTAAAACACTGTTCTACAGTTTTCCAGAAGAGCAGACGTAAGCCACATGCCTGTTCTGCAGGGAAATAAAACTGCTGATCTATTATGGCTGCTACCTTTTTTCTCATAATCCTCTGCGTGTAATCATGGTAGTGATGTACAGGGGTCTCCCGAGGCGTGGTGTCACGCGGATCGGCCACCAGGTGACACCCCATCGAGACATCATCGTGCACGTGCGTGATAACATCACGTGCTGTAACCTGCCGACCGCCATCTTGGTGATAGACGGCGGCATAGAGAGGAGAGACATTCACCCGGTGGGTTAATTATATATTTATTTATTGTTTTTTCCAAACATTAATCCAAGTTTATCACACTTTACACCCCGGTGGGTTAAGGTATGCCGCCGGGTCCCCTCCACTCTCGTGCAACTGTCGGGCTCTAGGTCCATGACCAAGTGCCCGACATTTCAGAGGGTGTTACACCAAAATGACTGTCAGTCATTTTGGTGTCACCCCCTCCAATGGTGTCACCCTGGTGCGGGCCGCACCTCCCCTAGTGACGCCACTGGTGATGTAACATGTACTGCTCAGCTATGATTGATCACCAATATCAAGGCAAACTGATTGCAAATAGGTCAATTCTTACATTTGATGGTTTCCGCTAGGGATATCGCAGCCAGAAATTGCCTCCTGAATCATACCAGCAGTGGACGTGTGGCTAAAATAGGTGACTTTGGAATGGCTCGGGACATCTACAGGTAAAAATTCCACTTCTATAATAACAGGAATGATTCATAAAAAGCTGAGAAAACGTGTCTGTGTTCATGTGTTGCTCGTAATAACAAAGAGTTAGGAAACATTTGTTACCCCCCTACACTGCCTTATGAATAGCTGTCCTTGCATAGCTTGTTAATATGACATTTTCTTTTTGAGCCATCAGGTGGAGCTTTAGGCTCATTTTCACATTCTTCAGGTTCTTATTTGCTCTAAAGCCCGTTTACATAACTCAATAGCTCAGGAGGAAATTTACACACCATCTGATGATTTTTGAGCAATGGCTTCTCTCTTACCACTCGTTTTAAAGTTTCAGTCAGAGAAGCCACAGCCTAAAGTAGGCTGGGCAAGGTAGTATTTACTGTAGCAGGGGTTTATTTACTATAACATGCCATGACTATATTTACTAAAACAGCACTTTTTGGCCTCTGCCTAGGGCAGCAGGGTAAATGGGAAAGGGGGGCAGTTCCAAGATGCAAAACTTGCAAACTGTAAAAAAAAGTTTTAATTATACTTTTTTTTGGGCTGTCTATAGATATTTGTAGATACATTCAGCAAGTGACTCAAAAGAGGAAGTGCGTGGAGGGGAAACATGAAAATATACCTCCTTCTCTTAAATGATGGTCTGAACTGTTAAGATACACCTGTGTTTATAAAGCATTTTGCTTCCTTTAGAGCAAGTTACTATCGAAAGGGAGGGAGAGCCATGCTGCCTGTCAAGTGGATGCCTCCCGAGGCCTTCCTAGAAGGAATCTTCACTTCCAAGACTGACTCCTGGTAATCTTCCTAATAGCCCAGTACATCATTTTTATTATTTCATGATTTTTTTTTAATATAAAATGTGTGCTTGTGACTTGTGCTTTCACCATGAAGGGCAATATTACAAGTTCATTTTAAATCCCGTCCCTCACAGCAGCACATATTCACCTTTTTCTCACTCCTCTTCAGTCACACTCTAACTGGAGCTAACAGAGAACTGAGGACTGTCTCCCCACTCCCTATGTGACAGTATTAGGCCAATCGCCAAGCACCAGTGCTCTCACATGCGAGGAAAGGGAGTGAGTTACATGCTCCTCCATACCTGGAAGTACTGGGTATCTTCACTCCTGATGGCTGGACAGAGTGGCTAAGGGCACATTCAGACGGGCTTGAACGCCCATAAAATGACCTGATCCTGGAACGGACAAGTTCTGCATGTAATTGCCCCCAGCCGCCTGTTCTTCGATATGGGAAGAGTGTGTGTGCGAGTGCAGGCACCCGGACCTCGGGTGTGCGTGTGACCGTGTGTAATTGCAATTTAAGCAGCACCTCTTCCTTCTGGAATTTGCCCAAAAGAAGTTTGCAATATTAATTGCAATATAATAATATCGATAATAATAATATTGCCATATCATTGATTGTTATACCCCATTTTCCTCTGGGTAAAGCAATTGTCTGCAATTTTTTTTTTTGCAGATTTTTTAAAAATATAATGAGGGATTATTTTGTTCATAAATTCACAGCTATTAACAGACTGTTTCACCCTCCCTTCTCAGGACAGATTAGATTGCTCCACAGGGGATGTCCCCAGACAATTCTAGTAATATTCCACGAAGCAGAAATAAACTAGAGCCGCACACATCATCAATATATGACACCCCTCTGGAGGACAAACATGGCCTGATTCACCGGACAGAGGTGTAGATCATTAGTCTATAGCATCCAACACATCCTCGGAGTACAGACCTCTGTGACAGAAGAGATGAATAGCATTACTCACAAAGGCTAAAAAAATTGGGCCACTGGGAACGTGATTTAACTATGTGAGTAATAAGAGGCAAATTAGTTTTTTCCTGCCTGCGTGCCCTGATTTAAAAATGCATCTTTTCCTTCCTGCATGTAGTCTATTCACAGAAAACATAGTACTGCTTGTCATCTAGTACTTTTTGTGCCAGGCTTCCCCTGGGTCTAGCATTATGTGAGCCCATTACCTGAAAATTTGCAAGCAATGCAACAAATCCAAGCATTGCTTGAATTTTTTTTTTAAATAACAACTGTACCACTTTACATTTTGTTGTAGGAGCAGCTTCAGAGTTATAGTAATGTAATCATGGTGTAATATGGTCTGTAGAAGTGATACAAAGACTTTGTTTGCTGAAATAGGTCCTTTGGTGTACTACTTTGGGAGATCTTCTCATTAGGATATATGCCTTACCCATGTAAAACCAACCAGGAGGTGCTGGAGTTTGTAACAAGTGGTGGACGGATGGATCCTCCCAAAAACTGCCCAGGACCAGTGTAAGTGTTCACTATACAAAGGTTTAAGTAAGTTAGATAATTAGAAGTTTTAAAGTAATGAACGTAACATGCAGTCAAGATTTTCCACATCATTCAATCTACCTTGTCGTTAAAGTAAAAAAAACAACACAGGACATTTAGTATAAGAAGATAGTTAATACTTACCTTTCCAATAGGTAAAATCTTTACTCTGTTTAAGAGCTACGGGTGCCATCTGACACTTCCTGGTGTGTCGGATACCTGGCCCCTTGCTGCATACAGTGATTCCTCCTCCTAACCCCTGAGTCACTACCGTGGAAGCAACTAAGGAGGAAACCACAATGTCCATTTGGGGTCTAGGTATCCATTACACCTGGAAGTGTGTTTTATAGGGTGCTTGTTTTCATATTTTTACTGCAGTGACACAATCACTTTAAAGCAAAGCTACCATTAAAATTTACACTTCACATCAAACAATGGGGTGTATGCCAACATTAACAAATCACAATTTTACCATTATTAAAAAGTATCTCATGCTTGTCATAAATTAAAGAAAAGTTGTTTCTGAGTTTCTTCATGCAGCCTAAACAGCCTTGATTACATGGCCTCTGACTACCAGAAATATTGCTGTTTCTGTTTACCATTAAAGACTACAAAGGGTCCATTGTTTGGATGATTGATAGTGGTCCCCCTGTGTCTGTAGAGGGTATGTTGCAGCCAGGGTGAGGAAAGAAAAGGAAACATCCCATACATATTTACAAGTTCTAATAGAAGCGTGGTAAAATTATCTGCCCAAAGTCCAGTTAAAATGTTTGATGTTACTGATACTAGCAAATGAGCCAATGTCACTTTATGTTTTAGATATCGAATAATGACGCAGTGTTGGCAGCACACACCAGATCACCGACCAAACTTCTCAACCATATTGGAACGGATCATCTACTGCACACAGGTAGGATTATATCACTGAAAATCCAGGTTGGATTATAACATTGCAAATATGAGTTTATTCAGTAATTCACGGGAACGTATAAAATGCCGTAATCCATAATGAACCTTAACTAGTTATATATCTGAAAGATATGACGATGATTTATTGCTACTGGTTCCTGCACATTAGTTTACTGTATAAAGGTCTTTAATTCAGGTTATAACTGTATTTGTGCACGTATTCCATCCTGGGGCTACAAATACATGGAGATGCCAATTACCACAACAGCAATCTATTTTTGTATGATCATAATGTACCATGTTCTTGTAGAACATGGTACATTATGTAGAACATAAAGACATTTCTCTGTGCTAATCCAGGCTTTTTATGCATTATAGCTTGGCTTTATCATAGAGGTAAATACAAGCTTAAGGCCTGTTCCTTCATTTTGTTCTTGACCCATGATTACATGGATCAAAAACGGATTGAGATACATCCCTATGGGCAGCTGGATGTAAGGATATCTGCCCACTTCTGGGTCCATTCAGGTCTGTCCAGTGTGACTCCAGGACCACTTTTACTAACCTGATGTGGGCGGATATAGGTGGACTCATCTCTGTTTAGATCCGGCCACTCACTGTTTACATGAGTCTGTTTTTCCTTCTTGGATGGATGGAGGAAAAATCAGAACAGACATGGATATCACATATGTGACATACATCTTCGTCCTGATCTGACTCAGCAGGGGATCCATCTAGGATCCCCTGCTAAGACGGAACAGGCATTGCCCATGTGAAAGAGGCCTAATGGCCGCTTCAGACCTAATCGTTGCAGTACTGTGTGGCTAAAATGCACATTTTTGACTTTCTGTGGCACTTAGTCTTCTTCTAGAATGGCACCCCAACGCAGAGCAAAAGTAGGTGCCAATAATCCTGCACTGCATCACACCATAAAGATTGGTGCGCTGCGTGAAAAAATTCTGCTGCTGCAGGTCCAGTTTTACTTCCGTTGTTGTGCATTGGCACTGCCTTAATGTAACATATGGAAATGCACATGCTGTAAAACGCTGCAATGGACCGCAAAGGCCTAATGGGCCCCTTATGCACAGGTAAACATTAGTCTGCATGCGTCTAAGCCATGGGGTAAAGGAACAATTGTTAGTCTGTGTGCAATTGCCCCAAGCCTCGCTGAATCATTAAGATGTAGGTTAGGAATGTTCAATCGTTTTATTCTGGGCAAATAAATGTCAATGTGTTATTGTTTTGGACCAAAAAGAAAGATAAAATATATAAAGATAGAGTTTCCTTCTAGACACCAGTTAAATGTAAATCACAGATAATAATATAATATTAATTGCAATATAATAATATTGATAATAATAATATTGCCATATCATTGATTGTGATACTCCATTTTCCTCTGGGTAAAGCAATTGTCTGCAATTTTTTTTTTTGCAGATTTTTAAAAAATATTATGAGGGATTTTTTTGTTCATAAATTTTTTAAAAATATAATGAGGGATTATTTTGTTCATAAATTCACAGCTATTAACAGACTGTTTCACCCTCCCTTCTCAGGACAGATTAGATTGCTCCACAGGGGATGTCCCCAGACAATTCTAGTAATATTCCACGAAGCAGAAATAAACTAGAGCCGCACACATCATCAATATATGACACCCCTCTAGGGTTGCCACCTTTTCTTTCACCAAAACCCGAACACTCTAGCGACACACGGATATTTTTTTGGGAGAAACATTCATGGTTTATTCATATGTATATAGCGTCACCCATTCATATGTAAATATCACAGTAGAGACTATTTCCAGTGGGGGGCCAGTAGCCCCTATCTTAATTTTGGTTGCCCCTGTCTGTCTGACATCTTGTGTTCGGGTTTCTGCTGCCGTGAAACCCGGACACAGCATTCAAAACCCGAACTGTCCGGGTGAATCCTGGACAGGTGGCAACCCTACACCCCTCTGGAGGACAAACATGGCCTGATTCACCGGACAGAGGTGTAGATCATTAGTCTATAGCATCCAACATATCCCTGGAGTACAGACCTCTGTGACAGAAGAGATGAATAGCATTACTCACAAAGGCTAAAAAAATTGGGCCACTGGGACCGTGATTTAACTATGTGAGTAATAAGAGGCAAATTAGTCTTTTTGCTGCCTGCGTGCCCTGATTTTAACAATGCATCTTTTCCTTCCTGCATGTAGTCTATTCACAGAAAACATAGTACTGCTTGTCATCTAGTACTTTTTGTGCCAGGCTTCCCCTGGGTCTAGCATTATGTGAGCCCATTACTCTACCTGAAATTTGCAAGCAATGCAACAAATTCAAGCATTGCTTGAATTTTTTTTTTAATAACAACTGGACCGTGTAAAAAGTTAATCATTAGTGGTAACAAGCGCCTTGATGAATTGAAGGTACTCCTTCCAGTTCACCAGGGGTGGGCAAACTCCGGCCCTCCAGCTGTTGTGGAACTACAAATCTCATGAGACATTGCATGATTCTCGCAGCCATAGACATGACTCACAGAGACAGATGCATGATAGGGGTTTGTAGTTTCACCACTGATGGAGTACAAGGTGTACAGCAGGAGTTTGTCCACTCCTGCTGTACACAGAGGTTGGAAAATGTAGTTGTTCCCTTTGGTAAGCAAAATGGTTTCTTCACTGCTTGCGCACCAGAGAGTCCAACTAGCCAAGTCACAGAGAAAAACCAGCAGTCTAGAGAACATATTTCGCATGTGCAGGTAGCCCTCCACTTTTCACTCTTGGAGAGGGATCTACCTCTGCATAATCACCTATAGCTATAGCCTGTAATATGTTAAAGTGGACCTAGCATCAGATATATTTTCTTATGGTATGCGCATGAATCCTAAGTAATATGTAAGTGTAAAACCTACAGGCAGTGCCGGTGCTGCCACTAGGCAAACTAGGCAGCTGCCTAGGGAGCACTGATACCTAGGGCGCGGCCTTGACCACTCACCCCCAATGGCGCCCCCTGTCTATTTCAAAGTGCAAAAGCCAATAGCAGGCTGGCTATTCCATCCGCCCACTGAGCAGAGGAGCGTAACTGAGAGACAACTCCATCTTTGTTTAAGCATCATCCAGGGTCAGCATCTACTTCCTAGACTGAGATGCTGGCTCGGCAATGACATAGTCATGTAAATCCTGGCGTCTTAACAGTTCTTGGTTGTTTTGAAGCAAATCAGCCCCTTACTGCAGCTTCTCGTCTTATGATTTGCAGTTTGAGTAAGGACTGAGGAAAGGGAGCGTGAGGAAATGCTTCCTCCTGCCTGCTGAAGACTGATGACATCATCTCAGCCTAGGCAGGGTCACTAGACTGAAGTTCAAGAGCTGCTTTTTCATTATTAAAGATAGGGCATTTTTTGACTATTAAATGCCAGTGGTAATGGGCTTTGTTGGCTTCAGTACAACTTTTCTGCCCATACAGGTATATGGAAATGCAAAAGCATTTTAAAGCACATCAACTGCAGATGATATGCCATGAGTTCTGAATGATTTTAGAAGCTAAAACTGCTGTCAAAAACATCTTGTATTTGCTCATTGAATCCTATCCACACTGGACCTTAAAGTGTTTCTGTATATTTTGACATGTCAGGAATTTGTGAAAACTTGTAAAGTTACTGAAGAGTCCAGTTTAAGGTCTATTAGTATGAGTACCTAATGACAGCCACATCCTGTACCATAATATTTGTCTCCAAAGTTCACTATCTATCTGGAGTTTTACAATATATACTCATGAATGTTATTAGTAATTTAGCTGCTCAATACATGAATCACCAAACTATATGTTTTTGTAGAGAATGGTAAATTCTCCAGTGACGTGCGGTACCTCTTGTTCCGGGTGAGGTATTCCCCACCCCCGCCGGTTGAAGCCCCGTAGGCCGAAGCGCCGACCCCCAACCGGTCCCCAAGCTAGTGTAAAGAAGGAAGGGAGGAGACAGGGAGGAGCCTCCCTGTCCCTCACTTGCTCCTCACTGCTGATGCACTCCGTCCATGACAGGTTACACAGCGGGGAGGATTTCCCTGCTGTGTAACCTGTTAGATGCCGATCTGAATGGAGAAAAAGCTGTCAGCTTCAGACAAGAAGCTGACAGCTTTTTCCTCCATAATTCTAGGTGAGGCTCTGCCTCACCTGACCGCACGTCCCTGGTGCTATCATGTCTTAGAGAGACTCGTCTCTTCAGGGAAGCCTATCCCACCTCAAACTAACCACTGAACCATCATGTTCTCAAACAATTCATCCCCACACAGCTACCTCCTCATGTATCACTTGCCCCTCCCTTTTAGATTGTAAGCCCTCACGAGCAGGTCCCTCCTTACCATCTTGTCTTGAATTGTATTGTGATTGTAATGTCTTCCTTATATTGTAAAGCGCTGCGCAAACTGTTGGCGCTATATAAATCCTGTATAATAATCATAATAATTATGTCTTTCAGGATCCTGATGTCATCAATACTGATCTCCCTGTAGAAAGTTGTCCAGCCCAAGAAGACGAAGGCAGCACAATAATGCGGCCAACCATCTGTAATGGAATTACACCTCTTTTGTGCAATCCTACTCTCCCGGTTATGATGGACACACAGACCATGGAGCATAAGCTAGGAGATATTCCTGAGGAGTTACGGGTTGAAAACCTAGCAAGCTGGAACCTCCGAGCTCCGAGCGTTGGCGAACCTTCAGAAGGCTCATGGGCCCCAGCAAACCCAATCTCCACTTCAGAGACAAAACCTCAAATGTCCCACAAACTAAAAAACAAATCCAAAAATCTCTGGAACCCAACGTACGGGTCTTGGGTAATGGAAAGCACCTGCTGATGCTGACCTGCTTAAGCATCTTAGTTTCTGACTAGGATAAGAAGACTCAGGTTTATACCTTGGAACTGTGGGAGCTGTCTCTCTACCACAAGCCAGATGTTTCAGCATTTCCAAAGAAAACTCACTACACCTTCTAATCACCTTCACTTGTTTTAAGTTGGATTGCAGGCAAAATAAAAAAAACTTGATATCCCCAGTTAACACTGTGAAATATATTTCTAAGGAGAACTTTAAAGACTTCAGCTGAAAGCAGCATACTGGCATTGACCTCACTTCCTAGCAAATTAATATATTTTTTTATTTCTCTTGAGTTTACTTTATGAATGGGAATAAGGTCTGAAAATATAGAATGTCTGCTTTAGTAATACACATCTCCTCTTTATAAACAGGATTCTAACTGCAATCTGATATCCGTTAAAATAAGCCATAGAACTCTATACTAAGAATAGGTTGTTCTGTTGAAATGTCTGGTTAATGTAAAGCTTTGTAACTAAGAACACAAAGGGACAAGATATACTCAGAGTAAAGTCTCATATTCCACTGGAAATATCTGTGGTTAATGCAACTGTCAAGCTCGTAAGGCTAGGATGAGAACTCAGCACCGGCAAATATTAGATTCTGGTCAAAGCATATTGTAAAATAAAGACGGTTTCCAGTACATCCCATTGGAATAAGTGCAGTTGGGTGAACCTTTCGTACAGGGTAACATGCATCTAAACTATAGAAGTGATGCACTTCTATAGTTCTCTGCACAGCTGCCATCTGCACAGACGTAGAGGAACTGTTTGTCCTTATAGGAAGCATGGAATTTCTGGAGAAAACGTAAGTTCTGAACAAGGGCTTCATTTAAGCAGCATTACTGCAGTCAATTTGCTGCCGACTGTGGAGTCAACATTATATATTGTAGGAAAGTCACTGGTCTTTAAACAGTAATGGCAATAAATGCAGCTTTATTGCATCCAACGAAAAAGTAACACAAATAAAAAGGCCTACTCCACCTTAGGAGGCTAACTAAACAGTAGTGTCCCTCACTACGTCCTACTGGAGCAGCTATTCCAGCTTCCAGTATAAATGGACAAAAACCACAGTCCAATACAAACAATTATTCTGACAGACCTTATTCCCCAGATATGCAGACACTCTCCAGTCTGTGTCCATCCAGTGCAGCCTGGATCTCACTCTGAGCTCTCACTCCCTCCCAGTCACTATCAGGTGCAGGCTAATTAATAGAGAGAGAGGAGGTTTACCTGTTGGCCAGGCTTAACCCTTTCCTAGCCAGGGAAAGCTGCCCTTTTCAACCTCTCGCTGACATACACAGAATCGTGTACCCTGTCACAATATTTTTATAACAAAGACACTTCCTTTATCTCCCTTCTGCTTGTACACCCAACCCATCACTGCCAAACTAGCTGGAAGGGACTATACTTCATAGTGGAGCTGTCATGTACTTCTAAGGTTCGGTGAACTTATTAAAATGAACATTCACCTAAGTTTTAAGCTATGGTCTCTCTGCATAGTGCATAGATGTCAATATTTGTATTGCTCTTTTCTGTCGGTCAGTAGCAGTTAAAGAGGACCTGTTACCTGTCACTCTGAAGGTAGCCATTTTAGGCTTTAGACAAGCATTTACATTAACAGGTTTTAAAGCCTGATTGAATATTCAGTTTAAATCATTAAAAAAAATAAAAGGTGTTCAATGTCTGACAGTTTATTTTATTGTAGCGATAACCCCCGTAGGAGCCGCTGGTTGCGCGGTTCACTTCTAGTCGGTCTAGGGGATGATCTTCAGCTGCCCACCCAATAGCCCTAACCGCCCTTCTCCTGGTGCCCATAAACTGATGTCCACTCCAGTAGTAAGATGCTAAGTAAACGATTTATTGAACATCCAATTTGGGAGAGAGGGTATAGGGGCTCTATGTGTCCATGGGTAGCCATCATAAGCTCCAGACTCACCAAACCTTGTAGAAATATTAGTATAGATCCACCTGGGAGACATCAGATAACCACAGATGTGACAGACAGTCAGGATGGATGCAGATCCTCAATTCAGGAAAGACACCGACCATGCTCTGAAGTCCACTTAGTTCCAGGGTACTTAAAGACCCTGCACTGGTCCCGGTTCTCTTCCTCTTCCAGTCTCTCAGGCCTCCTCCATGTTGGAAGCCTCAGGGAAAACCTTTCCCTCACAACAGCCCATGCCCACCCCCAGGCCTCGGCCTAGCCTGGGGGACAGGCTGAACAGGACCCAGCCCTAATCCATGGCTGGTCCCGGCGAGAGAGCACATGGCAGCTCCCACCAATATATGTACTCTATACAAGCATGCACCACTGGCTGAGAGAAGCCCAGTGATTGGCTGCTGTACTGTACATACATTACAGTATCCACCATTGGCTGTCCCACAATATGACAGAGTCTCACTCCGCCCAGGGGGGTACAGGCAAGGCTAGACACCTGGGATTAACCACATAACTGCCACTACAAATCCAGCCAGGCTGTCTACAGCCCTGGCTATCACTAAATGTCTAGTAGCCACATCACAGAAGGTGATGGGGGCTACATTATTTTAAAAGCAGACACAGCCTTGGTAGACAAGCCTGTCCCCTGCCAACAGCCTCAGAGTGGGACACTTGTTCTCTGTGAGGAAGCAGTGGTCTCACTACACGGGTCTGACACACACCCTGCTGAGTCGGACCTATTAGCAAAGCTCATGCTCCCTGCGGATTGGGAATCTCTAGCAGAGAGCAAGGGTCTTTCTCTATAGCATTGGCTGGACACGTTTTTCTAATCAGGTTATGGCTGATTTTTAAAGAAAACAAACTTTAAGACTCTGCACATCTTTTGTGTTGATACACCTGGAATGTATTTAGCCAATTTAAACTGACAGTCTAATTGGGCTGAAAGAATAAGAGCGGACCTATCAACTTTCTGAGCACCAAAATGTTTAAGCCAATGACATGTCTTTGCCAAGCTCTTTCAATGTTTTAGGTATAAAATTAGATGCATACAATCAATAGTTTTTTGTGCATAAAGCATGTGATGCAGATACAGGAAGTTGCAATGATTAACAGCTACAAAGGGATATTACATTATACATTTTCAGTTAAACTGACACTAAATTCAGTAATTAAATCTTAAAAATGCATTCAAGTACCCCAACTATTAACAGAAATGTATCTTATTTGTGTATCACTCGGCTGTAGATCCTCAAATCATCTCTGAATTGGTGCCGACACTGTCCTTCCTTTTGGAGGGTGGATACTTTGGTTCCCCATGGTCCCTGTGTGTGTTGTAAAGTAGCCACCACTCCCATCTCACTAATGTGATGGACTACAGTCTCAATACAAATGAGTAAACTAAACGTGAGATTGTAGTCCATCACAGGAGTGAGCTAGGAGCAGTGACTAGTTAGGGTACTTCAATGCATTGTTAAGGCTTAATTCCTAAATTCAGTGTCACTTTAAACACATTGCTTGGTTAAAAAATGTATCCTGCTGTCTGCAAGCAACTTTTTCAAGTTATAGGAGTGAGGAAATAAAAAAAAATCGTCCATTTAATTTACAATCCTGTTGTAAAACATTATTTACACACTGATTACAGAATGGACTCTGACAACAAAAAAAGAAGAGTTCAATCATTTTTGGTAGTTAAAGTGTTTGTAAGACAAATTGTTTTAAGTTTTAGAATAAGGAAGGGGTGAAACCCTTAGTAGGTTATTTTCTTTGCTGCCTGTGTCCAAATAGGGAGACTTCCCTTCACTTCCCGTCCTGGAGATGTAACAGGAAATGAGAGGAAACCTCTCCAAAGTGAATGTAACTTTCATCTTAGAGTTGTCATAAGAACAGGTGTCCTGAATGAAGCATTGGATATCCCATCTTTTTTGGTCTTAAACACAATGGCCACAAAGTCAAATAGAGGGAATTGCCCCAACGTGGACACACACCGCAAAAAAAAACCTGACTGGGAGTATATTCCTTCCCCACTCCCCAATGCCTTTACATATACAGTACTTTAAAGTGAATAATTTGTACAGATCAATACATCAGGCTTAGGGGGGACAGTTTTGTAAAAACAGGAGATAGAGGAATTTGATGCAAAAAGATGACTATCCCTTCACAAGTATAGCATCTCGGACTTATGCTGAAATCTTTATTTGTTGCTGAAAGAAGGTCTATATGTACCTTTTGCGGCAACTAATCAAACCAGAGGGGCATCATTAAAATATGGAAACTGTAGTAAACTCCGCAACTGATATTAAAACTTAAAATGGCTGCCAACACTGTGGGTAGTCAACAGGTCCTCTTAAAGGGATATGGCAATGAAACTAAATAGAATATAGCCTTGCGCAGGCTGCTGTTATTAATAGATGGAATATTGTGGTAATATGAATAAAGACATTTCCTTTAAACACAAATTGTTATCTTTTTTGTCCTGATTTGTCTTGGTAAAGAACGCTGGTTGAAAATTATATTTTCCATCTTAAGTGGCGGTTATAGTAAACATAAAGTGATGCTAAACTCAGGAGTTAAATCTTAAAATTGCACTCAGGTACCTTAACTATTGACAACAATGTATCTTAATTGTGCATCACTCGGCTGTAGATCCTCAAATCATCGCTGAATTGGTGCTGATACTGTCCTAGCTCTTCAACTGTCCCTAACCTCTTCAAGCAGGGGTGCAGTAATGAAGCAGGGAGCCTGGTCTTGGTTATGTGACCACCCGCCCGGTTTCCCAATTGGAGGGGAAGACAGGGAAGCTGCAGCCACGCTCCCTTGCAGCTTCCCAGGCACCGAGGACTGCAGATTGTATGTGAGGAATGTAAGTGGCAAGTGCTGCAGTGTTCTGCATCGCTGAGCCGGTCACAGAGATCTTTGTGATCTCTCCACCAGCTCAGTGACTAAAAACATGGTGCCTGCTGTTGCAGTTTCAGTGTTGCACTCGGGGTGGTTAGGGTGTGCCCAGGCAAACCCAGCATACCCTGTGTGCACACCTATGTAACCTAGAGTTAATGAGGCATCTATGTAATCCATGTTGTACTGCTCTGATTTTGCAGTAATTACAAGCTCTCCAACTGTAATTTCACTTTTCAGGGTAAAGAAGTTAGAAGGGCCCATTCAGACATTTTTGCTCCATTGTGGTGCATTATCGCATACATGTTAACATGTGGTATTTTGCAAGTTATCGTGTATTGTGTTAAGGAAGCCCAATTTATTTTGACAGCACAGGTTTTAACAGGCCTGCAGCAAATTTTCAATGCTATTCACAACAGTGTACACATAGTTCACATCTGTGCATTGTGGTGTACCGAAACACACGTGCATTCTACTGGCAAGGTATGCTGGGGTGCCATTAGAAATGAATGGTGAGCAATGCACCACAGTCAGCTTTTATGCATACCAAGGACAGATGGTACATCCTTTTTAAAATGTTGCTTCCCCCCACAGGCCATTCAGTGCAGAGTTGTAGCCTTAAAATAATGCAGGAGGTTGCCACAAACCTACATGCATCAACCCAGTGAATGCATTTGTAAACGCATCAGCCCATTTATGAAGCAGTCTAATAAGTTGGCTCAAAACAGCTCATGTGGAAAACTATTCCACATTTTTCCGCTTGCAAAAACTACCCATTTGTCTGTTGCGGTGTTGAGATTAATCTCTCTGCCTGTCTGTAGCCCCTTCTTGGATCATTTGGACAGTCTTTATTTTATTCTGGGC